GAACGTTTACATTAATTTTAACACGAACCTGTTATGTTATGCTAGATATGTTATGATAGATAGCATATCAGTAGATGTCATATCGGTATGATTGAGGGAATCGATAACAGAAGATATTATGCTGGATGCTAAAAAAAGAGTATTTACTTGCGTTTTTGCGCGTGCGCACAAGATTTACCTAACTTAATTTCATTTCCAAAAATGAGGTTTTCCATGTTTTCTGAATATGAAAACAACAACAAACAATTAGGTTAGAGTTTTTTGTGTTTAATTTTTCATTTTATTTAATTTATTCTAGCGAAAAGATTAGCTAAAATAACTGTGAAACAGTATGATGAGAAACTACTTAATTTTATTAGGAAAAACTAAATTATGCTCACTGTGAAAAAAGATATTAAATAAAAAAATGCAAACCTTTACAAATTATATAAATAAAAAATAGGTTCAAATATACTAAAAATTCAGAAGAGTATTAAAATGGGGCATCATTCTTGCATAAACTGCTCCTATTCTTTTGGGGGTCCATAATATAGAAGAAAATCAGGAGTTTCAAAAAGATTAGTGTGATTTCTTTGGGATGTTCAATTCAGTCCTTAAATATTTAGAAAATTATTATATAATAAAGATTATACCTAGTAATTTATTAATATAAAATAGTATTAAAGTTATACCTAATATATACTCTTTATTTCATTCTCCAAGTCTTGTATTAAATGTAAATTATTTAATCAGACCATTTTCTAAAAATATATTAAGCAAATAAAGTGGTAACATGAACGTTGGGCACTTAACGGCATGTTATTCGAGGATATTGAGGCGATATGTTAAATTAGAACCAGGGGCGGTTTCTCCATTGGTTTATTTGTGCAGTGAACACCCAGTTAAATTTCATAAAAACACATTATTTTAATATTACATAAATATTATAAAAATATAAATTTAAATTTAATATTTTTATTTTCATACATGTTAATCTATATTTTTTGGTACATCATTGTCCTCTGGCTGATCGCGTCTCTGTGGCACAGTATACATAATTATACTGTGTCTGTGGCGCATTATGATCAGTGAGTTTAACACGAGTGAGACGATATGCCGAATGCATATAGCTAAAAAGAGAAGACAACACGCCAACAGATCCTTCAAATTGTCAAAGAACACATTAATTGGCGCGCCGCTCACAAACAAGGTTGCCAAACCAGTGTTGCCAGTCTAGTACAATTCACAATTGTACTAGATGTAGTACTTTCTGTGTGCATCAGTGTTCACGTGTAAAATATATATATATATATATATATATATATATATATATATATATATATATATATATATTGTGTTCCTTGTTTGGGTTCGTTATCAATAAAGACCCCCCCTTTTTCCATTTTAATGAATTAGATGTCACTGCAAATAGAATTCGAAAAATCTGATACATTTAAGGAATCTGGTACATTTTTTAGACAAATCTGGTACATATCAAAACATATTCTGGCAACACTGTACCAAATCAAACAAACTGTCACTATCATTAGTGTCATTCCTCTCTGCTATTAAATACTTTAAACAAAAACATAAGATTATTTTAATTGTGCTTATTTAAAAAAATGTGTCTTCAATAAATTGAAAGTATGTATGTCAATTCAACGATTGTTCCCGAAAGACTTCTTTAAGGCAAGGTAAATTTAAATTTTTAAGGTTATGTTGATTTATTTACCTACAATAAAGTTTTACGACTGTAATTTGTTTTAGTGTCTAAAACCATCCAAAGACTACTTCAAAATGGTCTATTTTGTACTCAGTTGTGAATACTATGAAGTAAGAAGTAAGCAAAAAAATTGTAATTTTTTTTCTCACAAAACCCGCTAAAAGGAAAAATTTAATTAATCTGATAAGGTAACTACTTGACATCATTATGGAAATGGAGATGTACAATAAAAATTTGATAAAGATAAGGAAACATATGGTTTTTCACTTTAAAAGTCTGAATTAGAAGAAAGGATCAACCAGTTAATTTATTATACTCGAGAAATTTTACCTAAGAAATGGTATGTACATTTAAATAGTTTACCTATATAAAGTTATGTTTGCCTGTTGTAATTATCAATCGTGTTGCCCTTTAACCTAGATCGTTTGTTGCATGCAAACCAGAAATCTTTTATTTTAATGACATTTTTTTATTGCCTTGTTTGTATAATTTAGTATTTTCAAAAATATTAGATGTTATGGTAATTTGGATCACTGCAGGTATTAAATAAAAATAAGGCTGTTGGTAAATTAGTTTACAGTTGGTAATAAAGTATGTCTCAAAAAAAGCAATAAGTATCAAACATAAATTGTGATTTTGATTAGGCACTTAACAAGTCACATCCCACATATCTACATGCTTTGGCTAATCAATCCTATAAGTACATATCAAAACATTAATATACTATCTACAATTAAACAATAATTTGAAAATACAGATGAAGCCGATTTATCTATTTAGACAAAATACTATTATTCTGTTATTTATTAAAACACATTATTTTTTAGTGAAAATGGACATGCAAAAGTCTGCTATGAGGGTAGTGATAACAAGAATACTTTGGAATGTGTTGTGAAATACACTTAGAAAGGGTCATATGGAGAATCAAGTGTGATAACATTTTACGATGTGTATCTCACTAGTTTAGTTCAAATTTTTAGTATCCTTTGATAAAAGAAGTTGAATATTATTATTGACCTTTTTAAATTGTTTGTTTTACCTTATACATTTTTTTTGTACTCTTCATTCTGTGAAGAGTATTCTAGGTTTAATTTGTCTGTCTGTCCGATGTCACGTTTTTTGTCTGCACGATAAGTCAAAAACGAGAAATGATATCAACTTGAAAATTTTAAGCAAAAATCAAGCTCTATAAGGGGACAAAGCCTTTTGATTTTTAATAAATCTGATTAAAAATAGGGGATTAAGATGGGTTGAAATTAAAAAAAAAATCCTAAATTAAAAACGAAAAGTTATATCAACATGAAATTTTTAGTAAAAATGAAGCTTTATAAGAAGATAAAGCCTATTGATACTGAAAAAAATATGAATATATTGGGGAGTTAAGGGGGGTTAAAATATAAAAAAAAATCCTAACTGAAAAACAAAAAATTATATACACTTGAAATTTTTAGCAAACATCAATCACTAAAAGAACAAGAAGCCCTTGTTAAAAAAAATCTGATTAAATATGGGAGATTTAAGGGGGATTGAAATTAAAAAAATAATCAAAAATGAAAAGCGATATCAACATGAATTTTTTAGTAAAAATCAAGCTCTATAAGGAGATGAGGCCTATTGATTGCGAAAACAATCTGCTTGAAAATGGGGTTAAGGGAATCTGTTAAACTGCGAAGAGTATCATTTAAAACGCCAGGGGTAGTATTCTCAAGTCACGAATATAGATTCGCATGCGAGATTTATGATTTGTCTCACTTGGTTTTCGTTTAACAAAGTGAGACACATTGTAAAACACGTATGCGAATGTCGGTATTCGAGAATACTACCCCAGGCATTATATATCTTTATTTTAATTTGTGTGTGTGTAATATTATGTATTGTGATGGGACTGATCTTATAAAATAAACATTCAAAACATTTTAGTTCTTATTTTATTTGCCAATAAAAGGTATTTAAAAAATATATTTTTTATTTGACATCTGTGACAAATTGTGAAAACGATTAAACTTACAATAAAAACTAAAAAATGGTAAGTAAAGTTTCATATAAATTTTTTTACACAAAAATTAATGTCAAGCTTTCTACATAGCCTAATATATATTTAAAAATAATCTCAAATTATGAAGAAAAGTCAGTTTACTAATTAATGTTTATAGATGATTTTCAACGTATTAAAAACAAAACAAATATCACACTAACTAAAATATTCATTTATTAATAGTTGTAGTGCTTGAAAACGGTATGATGTTGATAATAATAACTACACTTAATACAAACTCAAATAATAAAATAAACAGCGATATTGACTCTTGTACAAAGTTTTGATCCGAACTTACAAATGATAAAATTATTGGAAAAAGTGAACACCCATTTTAAATTACCATGAGCCGCCATTGATTAGAACATAACAGGTGGAAAATAACAGCAATGTATTATGAAAAACTTTCCATCATACAAATTTGCCTCGTTGCTGTTAAAACATGGTCAAAACTCCTAATTAGTTATTTCGTGGCCTAATGTAAACGTTCAATCATGGGACCCAAATATATCTCGTTTTCAAGCACGCGGACCCTCTGAGAAGAAGAATGTAGAAAATGTAGCGATTTCAAATATGTTACTGGTTATCAGTGAAGTCCAAAATATTGTATGAGAAAACAAAAAATCGTCACATTTACTTAGTTTTCTTCAAATTTAGACGGTTAAAAAAAGTAGGTAGTTATTCACCATATTTTTTTTGTTATAAATGATAAATAAGTAAATTTTTCCTTTTTTTTCAGTTAACAGTACACACATTAATCATTTTTATTTTTTTGTAATTAAATGTATAACCTGATGATGATTAAGCAAGCATCGAAACGACCGCTAACAGATCTATAGGTAAATATCTAGTTTGACCACTTTTCAATTTTTGTGTTTTATTTTATTTTAAACATGTACATGGGGTGCTGGTTGGGCAAACAACATCAAGAGCTATTTAATAAAATATCTGCCGGTCTTTTAATTAATATTAAGTTATTAAAAAGCTTACGGGAAAAGGAGTAAATAGGGGTGGTGTGTCGGTAAAACAACGTCAGTAGTGACTTAATGGTTATAAAATATTGTAAAAGCAAGGAAAAATAATAGAAATTAAATAAATTACCCATAAAATATATTATTTATTAAAATAAAAAAATATTTGGTGCGTTTGGTGGGTTTATAAATTAAAAATTATCAAAATAAAGTGTTCAAACTAGATAATGACTGATCATGTTTTATGAAGGTGCATTATAAAAATGATGAATTAAAATATCAATTTTTTTACCTCCTGGAGTTGTGGAAAAGAGAGTTCCTCCGGGAGTTGAAGAATAATGTGACGGTAAATCGTTAAGGTCATTAATTAGCACCCTTTTTATGGGTATAGCTTTACTTTCAACCGCTTGCCTAGCCATAGAAGACGACGACATAACACCTATTTGTTTATATAATCAACGTTCTCTTTACAACTCCACTTCACAGACTAACAATTTACACAATGATACCGCACCACGATACCGCTTTCAATTTTATTACAGATTATGCGACGCGACGCGACGCACGTTCCTACAGCGAAAATACACAACAACGCAAGTTTGCACCATGACGACTTTTATTTATGGTTTATTTTTATCGTTTATTTCATTATACAGTGCGCATAAAAAGTTTAGATAATAACCAATATAATTAATAATTACAAATATAGGTACCCAAATACGGATAAGAAGAAGGGCAGGGTTTACAATAAAAGGGCCTCTAGACCTTTTTTCCAAGCGCCCCCAACAGTTTTTTATCGGTATAAAAATATATAAAGTCAAGGTATTATCGTATTATACAGGGTGGGTCACCGGTAACGCCTCGATCTGTAGCAGATCCAAAACTATATGATTTTTTAAAAGCTGTTTTCACAGCAAGATGTATATCAGAAAAGACAACAATTTAAAAATAATTTCAATTGTACAGGGTTCTCCAAGAAAGTGAAACATATCAACGTTAGGTTTTTTGAATGGAACACCCTGTATTTTATTTTATGTTCTAATCACTAATTAACATAAAGTCTATTTCCTGGTTAACCAAATGACAGGAATAGAATATAGAAGAGGATTTTAAAAACAAAGAAGTAAGAGCACATTATGCAGGCATAAGAAGGGAAAAGAAAGGATATATTTCACAAACTTTATTTTGAAAAACAAAGAAAAGGAGATACTGACGGATAACGATGAAATTCTGAAGAAATGGAAAAACATATTATAACACAATGCTTAATGGTAACAGCTAAGAAGAAACTGATTTATGACGGGTGGGAAGAAGAGTGGGCCTACTGTTATAGAAGATATTAAAACAAAACAAGATGCTGAATTGTTTAAAAATGGGAAACAAGAGCCCAAAAAATGATGGTGTAGATGGGTGGTGATCACCTGTATGATAAAATAAACTCACTGATGATTAGAAATGTATGGATGCAGGGAAAATTGCCTAAAGAATGGTCAGTAGCGGTGATGTTTCCACTATTAAAGAAAAAAGATGCTACAAAGAAGATACAACCCAATTTCAAGTGTTTTTTGTGTTTTATGACACCTTCATGAGTTTAAGTTGATGAAATACCTAACAATTTGGTAGTTTAGTAGAGGTTTGTGCAGTGGCGGCTCGTGGGCACTAGCGGCAGTGCGGTACACACTGGAAAGGAATCCCGGGATTCGTTTTTCCCTTAAGAAAACAAGTTCTCCGTTTAATGAAAATTAAATATATATCAAAACAAATTAAATATTACAAAACTGAAGACTAATTGCTTGGTACCGCTGCAGTTGTATACTATTTCTTATAGTTGAAGTCCATTCTTCTGGATTTTTGGCTAGCGAAGTGATCGATGACCAGATTATTAAAATTTGGAATGGACCGAATAAGTTTTTTTCGATGGATAACATGGTTAACGCGCACAATCTATCTTGGCACATAGTGTTCCTTAAAAATGTTTCACTCTCCACTGTGGTCATGGGAATTGTACACAGGATAGCAGCTCCACAGATTCCGAAAAAGTAATTGTCAAATTGTTCTCAAAAAACATTTGTAATAACGGTACGGCCCCATTGTGTTGCACAAAGTCATCTCGGGTGTAAAGTATGGACAGTTCGTTTTTGAATTTTAAGCTGTTTTCGTTTGGAAATAAATTACACACAGTTTTAACGTCCTCATTTGGAAAACAACCTCGGTAGTCTTTAAATTTTTCACTATCAAATAAACTTGTAATTGTTAGGTGGGTAGTAAAACTAAAACGTTCATTTACGTGCACTACTATTGTATCACAAATTTCCTTACATATCCATAAATTAGAAATGGGGTCTTCCTTTTCAACAAACCGTCTCTTCTTGCTTGTACTTGGACTTGATTGGGTGTTGTCGTTTAAGTTTAGTTCTTGTGGGTCTTGTTGTGATTGCCATTCTTCATGAATTAGCGTGTCTTATTATTTCTAATATTTTGAATAGCTGCTGCAAAATTTGATATGTTTATTTTAACCTTGAGAGCATCGAGCTGTCTACTCTGCAGTTGATCAAAAAGTATATCGCAATTTAGCATTATTTTGCTGAAGCAAAATAACTAGAAACTAAAATCTGTCTTTCAAAATTTATCAACCCTTTAGTCTGATTAATAGTTTTTTTATCGAATTCTGTATTCATAATTTCTTCGAGACATTTAATCAAAACCTCTTTATAAACATAAATAGTATTGACACACTTCGATGTAAAATTCCATCGTGTAGGAGCATTTTAAAGCATACGATTCTGAAAAAAAGGTGTTTGGCAATTTAAAATCTCCCAGCGAAAAATTTCTCTTTTATATTTTCAAATTAGAAAAAATATTTATTTCTCTATTTGATAGTTTATCAACTAATCCTGGAATGTCCAACGCATACCTTTTTGAGATGAGCAAAATAGGATTTGGTCATCCTTTCCAACAATTTGCGAAAATGTACACCATTAAATTATTTATAAGACTATTTTTTATACTCTTAAATATGCAAACAGAGATTTGAAATCCTCGAAAAAGTCAGACAAAACCAAAAGAAAAATTAAAATTTTGTCCCATTTATAAATATTATTGATTTTTTTTCATCATATTTTTGACTGCTTTATAAAAAAAAGTTATTTTTCATTGTAGTTTTATTTCTTAACTATTCCAATGGTCCAACTAACGTTTTTTCGTAATCACAATAAATAAATTATTATCATGGTCCAACAAACGCGCACCTTAAGCCGGTAAAGATGCCGCTGCGTAAATTCGTATCTGGTCTAAGTAATCTGTGCCATGGGTACAGCACGTCATAATGAGGACAGCGCCCCGCTTGTGACGTATAATCCATCGCGTGTGTTCATGCTAAGCGATATTGTCGTTGTCCTTGTTTTTCGCATCATAATGAGAGAGAAAACAACAGAGGCACACATTTACTGTGCCCTGTGCCCATCATCTTCCACTCAATTTCGGAATTCTCGGAACGTCGCTCAACGCACGGTCGTCCAGTGTCGTGCCAACCGGTTTGCGCTGAATATTAGATAAAATAATAATAGGCATTGAGGAAAATATAAAATATGTAAGTAATTTTTGTTTTGTTTATTATACTAGGGCACGTGCCCAAGTGCTCTTACGGGCAAACCGCCACTGGGTTTGTGACCAATTATCATAATAATATCTTGTTTTTCTATTCCTGTTGAATAATTTTACATTTTCTGCTTCATTTTTAATCAAGAAAATTGTTTATTCTTCAACCAGTTGAAATAATACTAGCCAGAACGTTAAGCTGATGCTTTGAACAGGGGATGTGCAAAAAACAATCCTATCACTTTTATGCTTGATGTCGTTTATTTATATTATTTTTATCTAGTCTCTTTTCTAACTTTTAGTAGATTTTGTAGTTAGACTTTTTAATTTGTCTCATATTTTAGATTAGGAACTTATAAAAGGCTTATTATAAAATATTTTCATGTAATAACCTCGATTAATTAGAGATTACAATTTTACATTGTGATGGTATTTAGTTGTCAAATATAATAAAAAAAAAAATGTTTTTAAAGGTTTACTTTGTTGTTAATTTTTTTTAACACACCCTGTATTATATAAAATATGAGAAAATTGCACATACTTTGATTACTATACGGTGCAAGAGAGAGGTTTGACACGCCCAACATAGGGCGCGGCCATTTTGATTCCTATGCCACAGTTTATAGGTAAAGAATCAGATCGCTCACTCTGCGTCGGCACTTTTATAGTTTATATACACTGTGCAACTCGGATAATACAATATATGACAACCGCCTATAATAAAACAGCAGTCTTCTGCGTATCCTGAATTTGTATCCCTGGAGTGGATGTTATTTTGGAACTTTCAACTGGTCCGAGTGAGCTAACTGATTCTTTAGCAATAAAAGGGGCGTTTGATTTGAAACTCGATCGAGCGAGCGTCGAGGAGACCGAGAAGTGATGACGTCACAATAGAGCATTGAATCAAATCAAATAAAACAGAGTAAAAAACATAACCTCGCTTTTTTGTGATTCTTGTTTATGGTTTGTGTGTCAAAATCTAGACTAGGTATACCTAGTTTAAGGTCAAAATAGTGAGCAAAAAGTAAAGAAAATGGAAAAACTTTTAATAATAAGGGGTACTGGCGCTGAAATGCAGCATTTATCACAAATGCCCGCTCTCATACTCCATGACTGTGATTACTGGTGATTAGATCTGGACAGAGAAAATGTATTTTCCAAACACACATTTTGTGTTTTTTATAACGAATAATTTTAGCTATAAGACAAAAGCGGCTAAGTAATTAGTTGACTTCTTGTTTGGTCTTTAATTTTGAGATTTAAATTTATTTGTAAGTAAATTAAAAAGAGACAGGTAGAGACAAAGACAAATTTCTCCCTCTTCTCGATCCTTCTGCTCTGAGAACATCGAGCTCGCTCTATGTTCTCGCTCCAAAGCAAAACAAACACTTTAGGGATCTCTCGGAGTGTCAATTCAAACACGTTTGCAGCACTCAGAGATCTCCGATGATCAAATCAAACGCACCAAAACTGTGACTCCAAAAATAATTAGGCATTCCAACGACCTGTCAAACAATACCTGCCAGTGGGAAGGTCTCGTATATCTAAGGGGGTAGCGACATAGTCTTGCATCTTGGACGCTATTTTTATTCGAAATATCAGTCGCCAATCCTGCCAGTTTTTAAAAAAAATGTACAAGCAGTTTTTTTATTTAATATTTTTATAGTGTTCGATATAAAATATTTAAATGTAATCCATTATTCATGATTTTACGTATTTTAGATATAATATCGCAACTGTCACATCTACCAAACCTGCCTACTGGCAATTCATTTGTTTGGAATGCCTAATATTCACTGACACTGACAGCAGCAAGCAACATATCAAGTACGTTTTAATCATCAGCTTCTGCTTCCGTAATTGTCGGTTTAGTCGTTTTAACCTGTCAGATTAAAACAAGAAAACCGACAATTCCGAAGCAGAAGCGGATGATTAAAACGCACCTATTAAAAATATTGCGCCAAGATGTAGGCAACACGTAATAAGGCATCAAAATGGCGGAGTTTTCTATCTTCTTTTAAAAGGCACTCAGAAAGCTGCGTAGTGCGACCATTCTCCGTATAGTAAAAGAAAATCAAAGTATGTGGAAAATTATTATCTTTTGTGACAGCTAGAAAAGGTAATCTGATACATAATTTTATTTTTGATTAGCGACGGTTGCTAGGGAAAGCAAAATAACGGAGGTAGACATCTTGAAATTTAGGGAAAAAAGAAAAAAATTGGGTTGGAAAATTAAAGCCAAAAGATTTAAAAAATAACAGTATCAAACAATTTCCTATGGTAGATTTTTTGTAAATGGATCAACGAGAACTTCAGAAACGGTAAATAAATCAAATGTATCCCGTTTTAACTAATTATACAATATTAAAGTAGACTTACCTGGTATAATTAAACTTTTCTTTGTGAACCTTGCAAAAAGGGATTGCTTCCAATGTGCCTTGAAAATTCATATAAAGCACTAGGATATATTTCGGGATTTGTGTACAAAATAAATCTGATTCTGCATGGTAGAAGCTACACATGGAAAATTATGTAATGTACCACAGAAAGAAAAGGAATATCTGGTAATGTGAGACTAGCAATACTTTGAAAATATCTAAAGAAATAGGTATAATATTTTGAAAAAGAACATTTTTCTTTAAAGTTTTGAGAAATAATAATAAACATCAATTCTGTAGTGTAATTTCGTCTAGCACAAAAAGATTTCTTCTCTTTTAAAGACTAATATTTTATCTATTCTCCGATAGATGGAGATAGTGGTACGACTCGATTTAAATTAATGTATTTTTTAGATTTAACCATTTTAGAATAGTTATTTTAATAAGGAAAGAATCATCGATGATTTTGAAGAATTGATGTTATAATTTTAAATAATTAATCCTTATTTAAATACAGTTTGAGAAATTATTTATAACACCAATTTTTAATAAATATAAGTAATATTAGCTTGTTCCAACTAGGTATAAAAGTAGGTATTTAAAGAAAACTCATTCTACATTGTTAAGTAATTTTTATTTAATTGTGTTTCGTTTATGCTAAATAAAAGTTTCCAGAAGAAATTGTTCACTATTCACGTCAAATGGAACCCAATCATGAGATGAGAGTCATTGAAATTTAAACTACACTAAAAAAAATACATATAATTAGGTACAAAAAAATAACTATAAAGGAAAACTGACTAGCTGGCGCAAAATAATACATGGTAAAAGGACCCTTTTTAATATTTGCATTTAAGGGTAGGGTTGCCGCCTGCCCTTTTTTGAAATGGACAGTCCTTTTTTCAAACAAAATGTCCTTGCGACTATTTAAAGCTTAAAATGTCCTTTTTTACAGCATATGTCCTACTTTACTCTTTGAAAGGGGGAAAGGGACCGGGCCTGTACAAAAATAGACAAGCTGAGAAGCTTATTTCTAGAAGCTCAGTTGGAGGACGAGGACTTATTTTATTACACATTCGTCGACCTTTTTTTTTTAGAAGTTTAGTAGAAGGATGAGGACCTTTTGAATAACGAATCCCATATCATAGTCCTTTATTCACTTTTCAAAAAGGTGGCAACCCTATTTAAGGGGGACTTTTTTTGACAGTGCATGCAACAATTTTGTCAGAAGCATAAGGTTTATTTTTATTTTTTTAAATAATATAACTTTTTTCATTCAAAATTTAATTTACCAAGTGCGTATATACCATTTGATATGCCGTGACCTTATTTAACTTATTTTGCAAAATACGTCCATGGACTGTGACGTTATATTCCCATTTTTAAAGCACTCTTTTATTCAAACTATAATATGGCGTATTCTAATTTAAAAATCTTTAATTTTTTGTAATATCTGACCCAGGTACAACAAAATATTAGCTACGCCCGTGGGTATTATTCCAAAAAGTCACGCTGACATACTTATTTTGTCGATCTTGTATAGTTATGGTATTTCTTGCTGTACAACATTGTGACTTTTAATTTTATACATCTGTATTCAAAGTTAAGATGAGTGAAATTATAAAGCAGTGGATTCAGGACAAATTAGGCATAATAATAAATTTAACGCCGGAAACATTTTGTGAATTAACTCGAGATGGACTCCTTTTATGCAGGATTCTTAGATTTTACGAAGTCATTAATCAAGACCAGTTAAAGATGATAGAAAAATCCGATGTAAGAACTGTACGTTTTGAACAACTTTCAAGAGCATATAATATATTGGTTGAAGATAATAAACATCCACTTAACTTCTGAAGATATAATCGATATTGTCGACTGCAATGGTTTAGCTTCGTTAAGCTTATTCTATCGCGTGTTCTTGGAACTTCATGAAAAGGATTGTCTAACTTTTATTTCTAAAAATAAATTGAGCGAAAAATTGCACCCCAAAATGGAAAAATACACTGTAGTAAAAGTATGCGATAAACCACCTGATAAATTAATAGATAATAAATACAAAGATAATCTTGATAATACATTCGATGTCATACATTGGCTTCAAGATCGCTTGGAAATGGTAGTCAGCAAATGCAAAAGTGCTAGGGAAGAATATCTTCACATTTTACGTACAAGAGAAAAAAGGATATCCAGCACTTTTTCAGTTCCAAGCATACCCTTATACGATGACACCTGCGACCAAATCGATAACGTTTCCGCAGTAACACTCAATATGACTTACGAGCAATTGATGAACGAAAAAAATAACGTACGTAAAGCGAACAAATTCAAACCAGATTTCCATCATGCGCAACAAATATTGGAGAAAATGAAACAAAAGTTGAGGAACAAGCAGGAAAACAAAGTATTCATGAAAGAGCTCCAGAAACATATCTTACAAGATTTCTTCGTTAAACTCGTTAACGAAGAAAGTCAAGATGTTAGTAACGATATCGCGGAGAAAATACTCAAACAATCCTTTTACGAAAAGCAAATGCAGAATAAGCTTAGAGAGATAAAGTATCAAAGAGAAAATATGCTGCAAAGCAAACAAATTCTCAACGACGCCATAGCAAAGGAAAAAGAACAGGAGTTTATAGAAAAGCTGATGCAAAAGAAAAAAATTGAACATAAAAAAGAATTTGAATATTACTTGGAAAAAGAGAGGGCGCTGCAGTTACACAGAGTGATTTACACTGAAAAATTAAGATTAAAAGCCGAACAAACGTTTAATTCCTGCGAGGACGCCATAAAGGGAATATGTAAAATGGCTGTAAAGTTTACAGAATATAAAACGTTCTTTGGCGAACAGCCTTCAGAGAAAATAATGGATAGTTGGAAGAAAAAGATAAACGACGAAGAAGCTCCGACTGAAGCTAAAGTAACGGTAGCCGATATAGTAACCAGAGACAATATGAAAATTGAACAAATCGTTCATCGCGAAATAGAAAAACAAAATAAACTAGATAAAGACGATTTTGATAATTACCAAGAATTCAAATGGCCCTGGGTTCTACAAAACAATGTTACAGAAGAAGAGGTGAAAGAAATGAACAACGGAATGAGAGTTTTGGGACATTTTGTACATCTGTTGTTGAATATGAAATATCCGTTACCTGTTCATCCGAGTCCACCAGATTTACCAAAAGTAAACGTCAGAGTTTGCTTGAATGGATTACCCGAGTTAACCTGTTTAAAAGTACTTAAAAAAATGTTGAGTCATAAAGAAATCTTGATAGTCGAATTACAAGACGCTGTAAACTTTTGTTTAGATAAATTTAAGGAAGAAACCCGCGAGGACAATGAGAGTATGGACGAAGAACAAACGAGTTTTATATATGACACGGAGCAACCTGAAATTTTTCAAAAAAAGGGATCGAAAAGTTATTCGTCCACGGGTGCAAATGGCCAGAAGGAAATTAATTTGGATAAAACAAATAGCGATAAATGCGTTCAAACGCCTAAATTTTATCCAAATGAAAAAGTGATTTTGTCTCAGATGGCCGAATTAGGAAAGATAGCATACGAGGAAGTATCTGACGGAAATAGTTTGACAGATTTCTTGTTGGTTTCTATGTTTATAGAATATCTGAAATCGAAACAGGATGAAATCAAAGGTATTCCTCAAATAGTTATTTTTGTATTAAGACTCAATTCAATATTGTTCACGATGTCAAGAAATGTTTTATTTTTTGGATTCGATGATGATTTGAACTAGTTTTAGAATTTCAGTGGTTTTGTGGTTTAAATAATCTTTCATGATGCTGGACATTGTAACATAAATAGCTGGTTATTTTATCTACATTGATATATGTGTTTGAGCTCAATTTATAGGGCATGGGTTAGGTTTTTAAATAAATCGAATAACTTTGAAAAAGAAGTTGGGCATCACTATATTTAAAGCTTATACACTTGACTCTACATTAGTGATAAAAATATTGAAAATCACTAACTACTAACAAATTATACTTAAAACATGCTTTAGATAAGGTAGTTATTAAATTCTAATTCACATAAGTTTGCACATAATTTAAATATAAAACAATTTATTGATTAAATCAATGGCACTTATCTGTAGGTAATATACGGTAAATTAAAGGTAAAATCAGTTATTTCTTCCTTCGCCTCTAACTACAGAGGTACATCAATCTCAGGCAACTTCTACCAAATGATTTGAGATTCTTATTCATAATTCTCAATCGAGACTGCACCATGAACAATCTTCAAGATAAATGTTTCTTACATGTATTCGAACTGGAAATGTCTAGTGATTGAATCGTGAATGATCTTCAAGATTAATGGTTCTTATTGTATTTGAACCCAAAACCGTCTAGAGATGAACCCGTCTAGAGATCATATAACTGTAATTGTGTAATTAGTATAATCACCAGTCACTTGAGTAATATGGAAATTAAAAGAGCTTGGTTCTACTTCAGCTATTTATTAATAACTGTCATTATACAATTCAGATCAGGGGCTGGTAACTCAAATGGAAAAACATGAAGCTGGTAATTTAGTACCACTCCAATTAACGGGATGGCGCTCGTATCGAACTGTCATGTCAGTTGTCAGCTCGTCAAAACTTCAAACTCAGATAAAATAAAATGGCTGTTGTATTTGAAGGTGTATTGAATTTTGATTCATCTAGAATCTAGATTTATTTTTCAACACCTTCCAATTTTAAGCATGTTTTCAAAAGATGGGAAGATGGATTTCAGCAACAAACAATAAAGCACTCCCAGATATTGGTAGTAATGCAATTTATACCACATTAAATATGCAGTCGTCCCCCAAATTGTAATAAGTGTCTTAAGAAAAATGCACCATCACTGTACCAACGGTAAGTAATATTTACAAACTTGTATTTGATTCAGTGTTAAAATAATTGGTTTGTTATTTAAATTTCTTTTTGTTTTTAGTTTTTAAATGATCATTTTTGTAAAGAAAATGTTGGCCCTCCAATATACCCTGTCGATCGATGAAATATTTGAGCCTCAGCCATCAATATCAAAAATTGATTCAATGCCATTGACATCAAACAAGAAAACACCCTAAAATCTTCAAGGTTCCAAACGTGTGTAAGTTTAATTTATGCTCAAAAGTTAAATTTATTTATCACCCTGCCCACATGATGAATAAAAATTTGATAACTACAAGTGCTGTATAAATGAATCAAGAAAACAATTATCGGATGAAGAAATGCTCCTCAACCTAACTAGTCAACTCAATAACCCTATGGCAAATTTTATCCACACTCAAATTTGCTTCGATAGTAAAAAAGGATCATGGATGCTTCAACCTCAATTTTTTCAAACTTATTTGCCACTCCAAGTCGCAAAACTTTTATAAAGGTCTTGAGCACTTATATATGCTGATTTTGTTACAGAAAACATTTTTGATAGGTTTGTTTTATAAATATTTAATTATTTAAATGGTGTAAATGCATATTTGTTTGAGTATTTCCATGTTTAAATAGACAAATTATATGATGCGGCGTTAATTTACTGTAATAAATAAAATAAAATAAATTGCATTTTATTTCAAGTTTGAAATTAATGCAAAAATATAATGAAGTAAAATCAAATAAAGATAAAAATTGGCAAAATATTTGACTAGTTTCAAATCACAAAACAGTCAATATGGTTGTTTTATGATTTAAAACTAGTCAAATATTTTTCCAATTTTTTTGCTTTATTTGATTTTCTTTATTACATTTTTGCGCTACTACAAAGTTAAATTTCAAAAAGCCCGCTCGTGGCGGCCATATTGAATTTTAGTACCACTCCAATTTGATAGATGGCAGCACATCGACTCATAATTTTACCATTGAGTTTCCCATCTATTCAAGTAATCTATGATTCAGATCAATGTCAAATGTCCGCTCGCAGGCGGTGTCGCCAGAGTAGGCCGCGGGCCTTTTACTACTTAACATCCTCCTTTTACAGATTCAGCCTCTCAGGAGCCTTTACCATACGACCTGAGAAAGTAGTTGTTGGTCGATTTACATAAGTCTCCTCAGAGCCTTGACTCTGTGCGTTTACGGTATTACCCTCACTTGATACTACTTCTAGTTCCGAACTTTCTTCACTTGTTTCATATTCGGCACTGTCACTTTCTGCATTGTCACTTTCTTCATTCACATCATTCTGTTCTTCCTCTTCTCTATCTTCTTCAGAATCTAATTCTATAAAGTATTTTCTACTGTCTAATTCCCTTTATTCAATTTCAGTTTGTAATAGAATATGGTTCAATTTTGTTTCGATCTGATTGTATAACTTAGGTTTTATAAATTGTCTATTGCGTATCAGTATTGAACCATATTTCATTTTGATTTAATATGTTCGGTCCCTTATTTGTTTTAAAATATTACCTGGCAACCACTCAGACTTGGGTTTTAATTGTACACAAACTTCAGTTCCTGGTGTAAGTGGTTGTAAGGTTTTTACCTCTTTTTTTTATTATAATTTTGAGTACTTAAAATTGTGTCTATTGGCTAGAAATTTGCTATAATTTGCTTTATTTACAATTTTAGGCTGCAGTGTTTTATTTTGTTGAGGTATTGTTGTTCTAAGTTTGCGGGACATTAATAAGTCAGCGGGTGAGTGAGTACCATCAATAAGCATATTACGATAAAACAGTAAAGCAAGGTATATATCCCTTTTTTCATGTAAAACTTTTTTAAACATGTTTTTGGTGGTCTGAATATTTCTTTCTGCTAGACCATTTGATTGGGCATATGTAGGCGAGGACATAATGTGGTCAAACACCCATGGCTGAGTAAATTTTTTAAATTCCCATGAATTGAATTGTGAACCCCCATCAAAAATTACGGTATATGGTATACCATGTCTTGCAAAAATAGGAAATTCTATCACTGTAGTACTAGTCGTATTACTAGCTAGGTTCAGATGACTGAGACTTGAGTATTTTATGCACAGCTCACAATTTTGAATTTTTTGCTTTATTTCATTTACCATGGTAGGCCAAAAAAATGCCTCTTGTGCTAGCTTAACACACTTATTGATACCTAAGTGATTATAATGTATCCTATCTAGCATTTCTTTTTGTGATGATTTAGGAACAACTAACAAATTATTTTTAAAAATTAAGTTTTCTGCTACAGTTAAGTCACTTTTGAATTTACAGTATTGTTTTAAACTGTCAGGAATTGTTTTAATAGTATTAGGCCAACCATCTAAAATTACCTTTTTTAAATGTTGTAATGTTTCATCAGAGTAAGTTGTTTCTTTAAATTCTTGCAATTTCCCTGAAGTTATATTTATTTCTGAAATTATTAGACAAACCTGATTTTATATCTCTCTATCGAGTCCATCATCTATAATATCCTTTATGTAAGCTCGAGAGAGTGCATCAGCTATTATAAAGTCCTTACCTGGTTTATACCTAACCTCAATGTCATACTTCTGAATTTGTAAGAGTATGCGTTGTAACTGTGCTGGGCACTTATTAAGTGGCTTTTCAAAGATTGAAATTAAGGGTAAATGATTAGTTTCTACAACTACCCGTTTACCAAAAATATACTGGTGAAATCGATTTAAGCCAAACACAATAGCCAGCAGTTCTTTTTCGATTTGGGCGTACCTGGGCACCTATCCTCGACTGGGGCTTTAATCAATGCGAATGCGCATTTACTAAATGCGAATGCGTATTTGCTCAAAAGCGTGTTGTAGCTATTCTTGGTCGTTCGAACTTATATTGCGGGTGCGCATTTGACAGCGAGTGGGTTTTTGCTCTTCGCATTCAAATGCGAAGGTCCAAAGAGCTTGCGAAGGTCTAACTGGATGCACGTTTTAATATTGCAGTGTTTTTGTTTTGTTTCATAAATTGATCGTGACCTATAGGTATGATGGCAAATATAAATTTTTTAAATATCTTATTTTAAATTAGAAGAGGCAAATAATCATCCTCGAAGAGTTTATGATGATAGAAAAGCTCCTTTCAGACTTTCTGATCAAGCGTTTATCAGATTGTTTCGGTTAATTATACAGTATGTCGCTAATGTATGGAATAAATTCATTATTTCTAAAATAATCGACTTTTGAAAAAAATCCAAAAACAGGTCAATTTTAAATTTTGAATCGTCATCACATGATGTAGATGTAACGAACATTACGTCACCAATATTACCGTGGTGACCAAAGTTTTGGTCGACCCTGTAGAAATAAATATTCAAATAATTACATCGTTGTAAAGACGATTAGAAGACCTTTCCAATGAGGTGTTTTGAGACACATGGTTGCATTTAAAAAAAATTGCCGATTACGTCACCACGGTAATACTGGTGACGTAATGTTCGTTACATCTACATCATGTGATGACGATTCAAAATTTAAAATTGACCTGTTTTTGGATTTTTTTCAAAAGTCGATTATTTTAGAAATAATGAATTTATTCCATACATTAGCGACATACTGTATGTGTCTTTTTACTAATATTTTCAATTTTATAACGTTGCAAATTATGTATAGCCAAACAGTACATCAAAAAACCACGACTTCATGCTCAAAACCATTACTCATATTAATAGGTATTGCTTCTTTTTTGCGAATAATTTTCACAAAACAAGCGGTGTGAACTTTGAGTCCCCTTTCTAGCA